TTACAATTTGTGCGAGCGATTTGTGGAAATGTATAACTGGAATACAACTCAGAAACTTGATGGCCTACCTCGCTTGACATCTCCTGGCCACTTTTCCACTAACTTTGTTCACCGTAATAAAAGGATGGGTGAGCTACAAACTTTTGCAGAAACCGGATGGCTGAAGAACATATTGTCTACTGTACTCATGATCATTGCTTTGCTTATTTCTGTATGTTGTAGTATCCAATGTATTCCTGCTTTGTTTGCTATGATGACAAACATGTTTCCCAGGCATAAAGAGAACATCATAATAACAACACAGCTGAACCCTGTTGCAAAAAATTAAAACAAAAAGTAGGAGATGTTGTAACATGCTCAGGAGCTACGCGCAGGCATGAGAGAATCATGCTGTACCGCGTATGCGAAAAACTAGATAAAGGTTGCAACAACTCATAGATAACTGTAACAATTCACTAGCAGCTAGAATTGTAGATCTTCCCAAATTTGGGCATTGCTTCCATGTATTACTTGTACTTACGTATGCATTACATGAGACATGCTGTAATATATTATTGGCTTAAGCTAACAAACCCCTCCTGCCTTTGTTTGTGTACAATAAAAGAGGCTCCCGGAGTCAGATCTGGGTCGTCTCATCCCGAGAAAACTCGTGTCCGAGTCTTTCCTCAATATTGACCTCATGGGCGGCCCGCAGAAAACTCACAAACACTGTCAAACTATTTACTAAGACTGCACTAATCTTCACATCATTCCCACCACCCATCTCCTTTCACTTATGACTGTATGACTGTAACTTTGTTGCTTGTATCCTTATGATTTATATTGATATTATTTCCTGATTGCTTATTTGTACCCTATTACTATCATTAAGTGTTGTACCTTATGATTCTTGACAAATGTATATTTTGTTTTTATGTACACTGAGAGCATATGCATCAAGACAAATTCTATTCTAGTATGGAGGCATCCTGCCTTTTTGAAAATCAAAATATTTAAAGGTGAAGCAAGCCTTATTCATATCAAAATGTCAGTTTTGAGTATAAACTTTATTTCCACATGTCTTTGGGACCTATATATACTCAGAGGCATTTTTAGAAAATATCACTGATAAATAATGCCTGCAGGTCACTAGAAGTGTGTCTAGAGAAAATAAACAGAAATAAGTAGAGAAGGTGGGAGGAAAGGGCACATGTTCTGTTTGACAAATTGGTGACTGGCCCAATTTGTCAATGGTGACCATAAGAGCCCTTTTGTGCAAATGTTAGTAAAATTCTTTTTAAAAAACTTCAAAGATATTCAGCCTAAAAAATTTGAGTCCTTGCATAAATGTCAATAAATCAGAAACTAGCACAGCTTCATTCTCCCCCCAGAAGGAGCATTTATCCAAATGAAGGGGTCTATTGGCTACCTACTCGCTCCTCATTCCCATGGGTGGGGGCAAAGGAGACACCTCCAACCCTCAGCCAAGCCTTCTGGCCTGCCACTTGCAGCTGGCATAGAAACCACAGGATCAACCAGCATGTTTGGTGAGGGGTAAAGGCTTTTTTTGTTTATGGAGAAAAACAGCCAGCTGCCATGTTGGAGCAGAAGGTGCCAGTTCACCAGATGAAAATGTTAATGAGCTCCTCATAGCCTCTTTGGATCATCTCTCAAGGATTGGATAGAGGCATAGTGCTGTAGCTTAGCAGGCAACCTGCCAGTCATGAGGGTCTACCATGCAGCCTTGGCAATGCTTGATAAGAGGTTGCTGCATGCAGCCTGGCTGAAGCAGTTGGGCCATGCAGTCTGAGGCACAGCTCAGGAAGAAAAAAAGAGGGCACCATAACCCAGAAGTTTCCATTCCTTTCCAAAAAGAAAGTGGGTGGTGCTGGTGGAGGAATGGAGGGAGGTCTCCCCCCACCCCCGCCTCTGGTGGAGAACTCAGAAAAGTAATGCTAAAGAGCTGTTCCTGGCAGGTGCCAAGACAACTGAAGTACTCCTTAACCAGGCTGGGAAGGCCATTGACTGGCCTCCACTGATGCTGGACTATATACCATGCTGGTTGAGGAATTCTGGGAGCTGAAGTCCACACATCTTAAAGTTGCTGAAGTTGAGAAACACTGGACTACAAGATACAAGCACAAATAGTGGCTGGATTTCTCTACCACGGAAGCAGCTGCAATTCCTCAGGCAACTTCTATTTTTTTAAGTCTCTTTTGAGCAGACCCTTGCTGTGCTGCATCCTTCTGTGGCTCACACAAGCATTAGGAAAGATGTGACGACTTATTGGAGCTGACATTAGCAGTTGCACATGAAAGCTATTGACAGAAGACCTGAGCATCAAATCATTTATACATAATTTACACAAATACCCATCATGGCCCCATTGGAGCCCTGTTCAGAGGAGGAGGAGTTGGAACTAGGATTGTCCAACAGGGATGGTACATCTCCCTTGTCAAGTTTGGAGAGGCCAGGGACTGAGGATGATGCTGTCCCAGGTCTCTCAGGCATTGGGGGAGGTGGTCAACCAGATGGAGAGCTGCGTTCCTTCACAGACACAGGGAGGAGTGGTGGTGATAGGCAGCAGATCCCCTTTTGATGAGGAACAGCTTGATCCAAGGACTTGGAGAGCGGAGCGTAGGCAAGCTCAGAGAAAGGCTGAAAGGCTACTTGGAAGGTTGCCCCACCCCTCCGCACAAGGAACACCTGGAATAGAGATTGCTTTTTGCCTTTTGTTTTGCCTAGCTGTGAGAACTCCTGCCTTTTGTTTTAGACTTTGCCCTTATCTTGTGGCCTGCTGCATGCCCTTTGCGTTGCTTTGCTTTGTTTTAACAACTGCCTTTTGTCTTGTACCTTGTCTTTGCCCTGAGGACTGCCATTTGTCTTATGCCTGGACTCTGCCTTGTGGACTACAGTTGGCCTTGTGGACTCGCTTATCTGGGTGAACCGGACTTGGAACCCTGGACCTTGCCCTGAAAGCATGCTCCTACTCTGTGAATTTTCTTTGTAATATAGGGGCTGTTGTTTGTGGGACTGAGGGTGGTTACCTTTGGGGTAGAGCCTTACCAGCCATTGGAGGGGTGTTTGTTCGAACATTTATTAAGAGCAATAAAGGACTCTCTAGAGTCCTGTCTTGCCTTGACCACCTAGGATATAACAGTTTGTTCCTGGCCTAACAACTCCACAATGCCCAGTCTCTTGAGCAGCACTTTGGATGCAGCCAGGCAAGATGGAGCAGCTCCTTGCTGATAGCGCTCACTTAGCTCAGCAGGTGGTGCTCCTCTCTTCACAACTCTCCCAGTTGCAGGCTGCCAGCCCCACCTGGCCTCACCTCAAATGCCCTGTGGTGGTGCCAGATAAATTTGATGGGGCATTTCCCACCTTCTTTGGGCAATGCCAGCTGTATATGAACCTATGGTCAAAAGACTTTCCCATGGACCAGGACAAAGTGGGCTTTCTGATTAGCCTCTTGACAGGGTCTGCAGCTTGCTGGGTGACCCCTTTTTTGACCCAGCCCAGCCCATTACTGGACAACTATGTGGGATTTTGCACACTTCTGCTAAGGTTGGGTCAGAATAGACTTGTCTCTCTTGGCATGTTTGGAGTGGCCAGGGGCTGAAGACAATGCTGTCCCAGGCCCCTCAGACATTGGGGGAGGTGGCTGACCAGAGAGCTGCTTGCCTTCAGACACAGGCGAGGATCGGCTGGTGTGACAGGCAGTGGTGCTAATAGGGAGTTCCTCTTGATGAGGAACCCTAACCCTAACCCTAACCTCTCCCACTTGATCCAAGGGCACAGAATGTGGAGCATAGGCAAGCTCAGAGAAGGGAATAGTTGGAAGGAATACCTGGAGTGGAGTGACTGGGCTGTGGGGAATTAGTCTTTGACTTCTGCTTTTTGCCTTTCGTTGAAGACTGCTTTTCGCCTTTTGCTTTGCCTAGCCATGAGGATTGACTTTTGCCTTTTGTCTTGGACTTTGCCCTTGTCTTATGGACTGCTGTTTGCCCTTTGCTTTGCTTTTAGAACTGCCTTTTTCCTTGCCCTTTGCGTGTACTCCTACTGTGGACTTTCTTTGTAATATAGGGGTTGTTTGGGGGACTGAGGAAGGCTGTCTTCAGGGTAGTATGGTGTGGAACCTTACTGGTCATTGAAGGGCCGTTTGTTGGAACATTTACTGAGAGTAATAAAGGACTCTCTAGAGGTCTATCTTGCCTTGACCACCTGGGTCGTAACAACCCCTGAAATAGGCAAGAGGTTCTAAGTTACACCTGGTTTGCTTGGTTTTTAGTTCATACATTCTCTGATGAAGCAAGTATAACATGTGACAGGCAGGCCTTTGCCAGGAGTAACTCAGAAGTGCAATGTTGTGTTCATTGCTGGCCAATACTACAGTATCTTCATGGGGTTTTTTATCCTATCTTTTTCATATACAACTCAAGGTGGTGAACATTAATACTTCTTCCTCTGTTTCTTCAACTACCACCCACTGAGGTGAGGTGCATTGGACTGAGAGGAATTGAGTGGCCCAAAGTCACCCAGCCAGTTTTTTATATCTAAGGCAGGGTTGAGTCTCCTGGTTTCTAGGCCAACACCTTAACCACACCACCAAACTGGCTTTTGGGGAATAGAAACATCACAAAAACAAGACATTCTTGAATTATGTCTTGTCTCCAACTGCTCATTTATAGTTCTAAGCTTGACACTTGCCTTCCATTCTTTAGGAAAGTGCTAAGTTTTGGATTTTTCTTCATATTGGAAGATTTTGGTTTCTTGAAGACCATCCAGAATACCAGTGCAATCATTCTATCTAAACAATTGTTGCAGCTTTGGCTATGATATCTACATATGGGACTTGGCAACATGAGTCTTCTTGAATTTCAGTTTCACAAAAACAGCATGTTATGTATTTGCACAAATCCAAAAGCACCAACTTCAAATATATTGAGACAAAACAACGACCAAGAGGACTCCCTCCCCCAAGTCAACACTTATATTGAAATTCAGAAAGAAGCATCAAACACTTTCAGCGTATTTAAATATTTATTAAATTTATTCAATATGTGGGGAAATACCCCATAAATTTCAAGAGGCATGTTTAATATTTAAAAAAATAAAGCTCAATGAATCTGTAAAGGTACAATTTACTTGTCAGATGTTTACATATAAAACCAGTTTATCTATCCAATTAAAATAACTTAACCTGGATTTCCTTTGCCTCAATCAGGAGGGCAACAGCATCAACACATGGAAGCATGAAGGGAGAAACCCTGCCATCCACTGCATTCCAAGTCATTCTTCAACCTTCCACCACACCAGAGGCAAGTGAACAAAAGCCAAGGCTGGCAATTCTCTTCAGCATCCCACCCAATCCCAACTATCTTCCACAGGTTTTTCTGCTTTTGAAAAAAAGTTTCAACTTGAAAAAGTCACTGAGATTTAACAAACATCTGGAAACCTAACTGAATTCCAGGGGCCAGAACAAGTTTGTTAAGTGTGTTGTCTCATGAGTTGTAGGCTGAAAAGATTCTAGTTTCATAAAATGAGAACACAGTTTCACTCTAAGGTTCTTCAGTTCGGGAGTCATACAGATGCATGAGAAGTATTAGAACAGAGTTCTAGACTGCTGTAGGGAAAAAAAATGGCACAATACTCCCCAAATATACACTTTTGTCCACACTAGCACATCACTGATGCTTATGTAAACAAAAATTGCAGATTTTGGAACACAACAAAATCAAGAAAATGCATTGAATATGCCTAGACTGTTTTGAGGGTTCCACCTCCAATTGGTGAGACTTTTCACAAGGATTATCGTTTTAATAACCAATTACTTTGACAGAGGTTAAAATATTAAAGCAGCTGCTTAGCACTCCAAGAGAAGAGTTTCTCACAGGAGGCACCACTTTCATCAACCTTGTGATTCAAACTGACCGATTTCAGAAAAAGCCTCTATGATGATGTTTAATATAATACCCTAAAAAAATTATTTAAGGCCCCTAAGTTATTACATTATATTTTCTGTCCTTTTTTGAAGATGTAGAAACAGAACCTTCTGCAATTATTGATCATTAGAAACTTTGATTGACCCTCACGATTCACTCACATGCAATTCTAATACAGTGATGCAGAATTAAAAGTTTCTAAATTCACAGTGCAACAGCAAAAGGCGCCAGAACCAAAAACAATTGATTCCCAGCTGCCTCCAGCTGTAGTCAATTCTGCTACCCCGGAAGAAAGAACCTGGGCAACAGAGGACAATAACAAAAACATGCAGTGCCATAGCTAGTTATGAAAATGCTGTCAAGCAATTAAATGTAAGGGCAGTGGTGGGTTGCTCCTGGTTCTGTCCAGTTCTATAGAACCAGTAGTAAAACCGGCGGGAGGCTCCGCCCATCCGGCACGTCATCATTGGTGATCTGCGCATGCAGATTCTGCTGCGAACTGGTAGTAAATGTAAGGGGAACCCACCCCTGTGTAAGGGAGTTATACCTCTTCTAAGTTAACTAGATTCATAAATATTGCAGAAGACAGAATTAACTATTCATTTGGTATCAGTTCCTTGCTACCAGGTACGCTATTCAGAGCACCAGTAGGGGAGCAAAAATAATTGGTGACTCAAACCATTAGTCTAAGAGAGAAGGTCCAAACCATGTGAAGTAGCAATAGATCTTGTGTTCTCTTTGAAAAGTACACTTCCACAAATGTCTATGTTGTATACTGTACTGTGTTCACCTTGTCTGGCTTACTTCAAATAGGGGCAACATTTACATCATACACACAAACGTGGATACACTAAAACAGTATTTGTGGAAGGGAAAAGAATGAAAAAGGCATAGCAATGTGAGGTGGGACAGAAAAAAAAGGCCAATTAATAATCTCAATAATATAAACATATAAATAAATAAGTCATGTTTTTATGAACATATATACAAATAGACAAGGCAACTTTTGTGCAAAGGAAAGCTATACTTTAACATGGATCACATACATTATTTACACACTCTATACTAAGCGAAAGAGTTTGGCATCTTTCACAGTTTTAGGACAAAAGGTCTAAGGGCTTACTCCTTGCATTTAGTGCTTTTCCTCTCAAAGGGAAGGGAATTAGAAGTGTCAGGCCAAGAGCAAAAAATCCTCACTTGTTATTCTAGTCAATGATTGCTAGATTACTGAAGGGAGACAGGATGCACAATTTCTGTTTCTGAGATGGAATGAGAAAGGTTAATAGCAGTTATTTTATATCCTAATTATATATTCTAATTCTACTTCTCTGTAAATATCAATACCAGTATTTTAAAATAGCAAGTGATCAGGATATTATTTATCATTTCAGAAAATTCAGTTGCCAAACAGCAAATACGCTTAGTATTTGCTTAGTATACCCACTTCAGAATGTGTGAGACACTGCCTTCAACTACAAAAGTGACACATCTAGGATGGGTTCTTTCTACTCCACATGAAATTGATTCTGGGCTACAACTTAGTGGAAAAGGGACAATCCATTGTGCATCTCCCTCCCAGTATAAAAAAACATTTCCTTTAGGAAGGGAAGGGATACAAGTATAAAAAGGTAACACTGAAGAAAAGAGAGATGCAGCATTAAGGCAACAGTACAGAAGTGACTTCAGACGGAATATGAAAAAAATGGCTTCCAATTCCTGTTTTTTGGCCAGCACAGTCTATTGCCCTTTTTTGTTATCTGCACTAAAGGCACAAGAGGCCCAGCACCAAGCAAAAGCAACAACCCATCCCCACAGTCAGCCTGTTTGTGTCATTGGTTTAGTTTTTTCCACCCTCTTACTTTCTGGGCACAGGTGACCAGAGAGGCAAGGAAAACAATCAAGTGCAAATATTGTTATACAAGATTACAGGCTATGTGGATCACAAACTGAACCAAAAAACAAAAGTGCATGGTAGGTTGGACAGGGAAAGCTGGAAGAAAACAGGCAACCCTGAACCAACAGGGAGATTCACAACAGATCCAATACCTTGAGCTTTTTCCTTTGGAGTTAGAAAATAAAAGTCAGTGTTTTTTGTTGACAACATGGATGATGCAATCCATTTTTAAAACTTCTCTGGTCTAGTTTGGGAAGGAGAGTGGCATCTAGAAGCTTGTGGATTAGGTGACTTTGGCTTCTTGTCTCAAATTAGATTTAGATTCTCAACCTTTCCAAACTCACTTAATGTGTATAAAATTGGGGCATAAAGATCTCTCCACAGGGAGACCTCACCACATCCAAACTTGCATCCAGAGAAGAATTTCTCTTTGTTGAATCCCTGTTTTCCACACTTAGGAATATTCTTACCATGTCAGATTAAGGAGACCCAGGGCATATCAGAGGTACTAGTGTCCTGTTAGCGCTGGGCACAATAAATATAGAAAACAACCCAACAATGCCATAAATTGCTCAATGTCCTGATAAACTGGCAGCTGACAAATGCTCCTTCTTAAAAAAATAAAGGAGAGTGGGAACAATCCATCAAGTCACTCAGGGAGTAGTATTGGATGCCTGGGAGAGAACTGAAGCCAAACCATTTGTGTTCTTCTTCCCAGAAAATAAGCAGCAAAGTCCTGAGAGAGGCACTTGAGGTTTAGAGGAAGTTTCATGCTGCATCATCTTCTAGACTGACCATCTGTCTCTAAAAGAAAGATGTGGAATGAAGAAAAGAACTATTGAGGTCCGTTAAGTGGGATGGGTTCAGAAAATCTTGGCGTTAAATCTTAATTTAGCAGCTAAGTGATCTTTGCCAGTTAAGTATTTATATGGCATTTTCTCTCCGACTTTTAATGGTAGAGGACAAACTAAGTTCTGCAATTTCATCCACTTTACTCAACTTCCCAAAGATCTTAAGAACTGCTTCAACTTTGGAAAGCTATTAGTTCATAAATATAGGACAATCATTGACAGTTCAAAAGAGATGTGAAGCACTTTGGAAACCAAGTATTTTCTATTTTATGGAACACTGGACACCAGCTTCCAAGGGCTGGGCATCCTAGCATTTCCCCTGAACCTTCATGAAGTTACTTTTTTAGTAAACCAAAACCTTAATGTAAATGAATTACAGTAATGTAGTTAATTCATCATTTGGAGCAAACCAACAGTTCCTCTGAACAGATTTCATCTGCCTTCAGTAAGGATGGTTAGGAACCAAAGCTGTTTGCTGTACACTCATATTTTTAAAAAGATAAACCAATGTGTTATTGGCAGTGGAGGGTGTGCTATAAAAGACCATTGGTAAGCTCAGAATTTTTGAATTAATGTAACAGTTTGACACTGCAAACTTTTAGGCTGCACTTAAAATACTTTTTAAAAGATCTTTTGAGTATCAAAGGGCTGACTTGTGCAACTCTAAAAAAATAAAGGTATCTATTTGATAAACATTTGTACTTGTTTAAAGGAATTCAGATTAAGAGCTACTACACATTCCATTTATACTCTGTACATGCCATGGATGTGAAACATCTAAATTCTAGTTCAACGAATTTGAACGTTTTGTTAAGGAAGAAACTTGCATAAACTGGAAATTTAAGTGTCCCAGTTTCTACCCTCCAATTTAAGCAAAATATTACTGAAGGCATTTTCTGCGCCCATGAGACTAAAGGGGTAAGGAATCAAGCTGGGTTAGCAACAGTACTAGTTATCTTTGACTTACAACCATTCATTCTGCAAGTGTTCAAAGCTGTTCAAAGTGCTGAACAAACGTTCAGTCCCCAAAATTAGGCTACTGCAGTGCTCCTTTGATTGCAATCTGGATACTTTGCAACTTGTTCACACTTATGACCAGTTGCCAAGCACCTCACAATCATGCCTTCAGAAGTTGTGGGAGCTTCATCACTTGAAACTTTCAAGAAAAGATTGGACTGCCATTTGTCAGAAATGTTGTAGGGTCTCCTGCTTAGGCAGGGGGTTGGACTAGGTGACCTATAAGGTCCCTCCCAACTGTGTTAATCTGCTATCTATCTATCTACCATTTGCAATTTTCCCTGCTAGTGTTCCTCAGAAAGTCAGTGGGGAAAAAGGCAGGGAAGATTGCAAGCTGCTGCCATCTGTAGAGGGCTGCCTAACCTAATTACCATTCATTTATTTGACTGGTAATTAGGGCATTCATTTAACGATAGCAACTGGGACGGCTGCAGACACTAAGCAAAGTGGTTGCACTTTACAACCACATTGCATAGCAGCAGCAATTCCGCCCCCAATTGCCATTATATGTCAAGGACTGCTTGTAAAGCAAGTGAAGGAAGTCTTGACAGTAATTTTGAAATATAGTCCAAAGTTGCCCCACCAATGTTGCCCTGTGGAAGCTTTTAGCTTGAAGGTTGGCTTACCGATGGGTATGTATATCCTTCCTGGCTCCGACAGATATGAATTTCATCCTCAGTTGTCTTCTGATAAACGGGGTTATCAAAATTGATACTGTTGATGTTCTTGAGACGCCAATTCTTCCAAATGAGAAAAATCCCAAAGGAGACTAAACTAATCAGTGCTGAAATGAAACCCACCCCCAAGAAGACACAATGGTTTAGAACAAGTAACATACTAATTACACATGTAAAAATTGATGATCAAATCATAATTAATTAGTAATTTCATTAATATGCCTTCTGAACAAAATGCTTATTCTTTGTAATGGCCATTAATTAAAGAGATTAATCATTGTGAGTTAGAGCATCTTTCTCTCCTCCTGCCCCCAAGCAGGGACTTCTTCTGAAATGGGAAACTTACCCAGAGGTAGAACAATAGCGAGTGCTGATGGACCCCTCCGTTCTGTCCCATCTGTTTCTGCAGCAATGCCATTTCGAACTATGGAGGGAAGAAACACGAGACTAAAGTTAACTCCTCCAACATGGTATGTGCTAAATTTCTATGGAAAAGGAAGAGGACAATCCCCTGTCCTCCATTTTGAAACTTCCTTAAGTTGCAGAACAAATTCATGCCAAGCTTTCTCCACTCAGGGTTAGGTAAAGTCTAACATTATACTTTCACTACAGGATCTTATTCCAAGACTACAAAATCTTAACTAATGCATGGAAGACATTTTTAACAAGATGGAACCAATGTTTTATTTTCGGGATAGATTTCTTGTATCTTTTCAACGGCTGCCAATCAGTTGTCAGGCAAATGACAGTAAGTAATGATAACTGGTTTTGCACTGAAAGGTAAAGGGATTATATCCAGGATCCCTGGATGAAAGAGAAGCCTCTCACCTTGCTGGGACAGGGTGACCATCTCATGAGTGGTATGTTCTGGGATGTTGGTAACAACTTTATTCAGCACATCTGCAGGCAGATGACTGGTTTTCTGGGTTGGAGTCTTACTTGTAGATAGTAGCCGTGCTGTAGGTGAAATCTTAGCAGAGTGCACTGTTGTAGCAGCCTCAGTTGGAGTATCAGGTGTAACAGGATCTGAATGGTAGAAGAAACTGCTATTTAATATTGCCATGCAAGGCAGCATTATACCTTTGCAATTTCCTCCATCCTCCATACAAGGATCCTGGCTTTGTCCCCTCCACCTCTGTACCTTGGGTGCAGCTTCTCATGTCAGTGTCCAGGTGCATGCCATCAGGACAGACACAGGTGTACTTGGCAGAGTGGAAATTGATTTGGGGAGCGGGAAGGCAAAGGTACTGGCAGCCTCCATTGGGGATGCCATTCTTCTCACACCAATTTGTACCTGGAAAAGAAACAAGCCCTCTTCTTTCAGAGAAGATTTCACAAGCTATGGACAAGTTAAGTGGGTGATATTTATAAAAAAACAAGTTATCGGGTTTTAGGTAGTGACCCAAATAACTAACGAAGGCCGGCCTTTAAACTTAAACTAAGAAAAAAGAAGAGGCCTCTTACCTTTTGGTTGCCGCACAGAATGAAATAGTGTCAAATCCTCTGGTGAAAAGAGATTGTCTGCCACTTTCACAATATTTGAACCGGTTCGACGGTTGGCACTAAAGATGGCTTCATTTAAGACATCTGTCCAGAATACTTTATCCTGGATAAGGGGTTAATTTGAACAATGAATTTTGTGGACTACTAATTGCATTACACTCTTCCAAGGATATCCAGCCACTGCAGTTTCCCAAGGCAAAAGGGGAATTCATTAAAGGGGGGGGAGGGGATTAAAAAGTCTAAGATTTGCTGATAAATTGGCTCCTTCTAACATGTGAATAAATTGCTTTAGGTTTTAAAACAAACTTCAAATGCAATAGAAATGCAATAAAAAGTTGGTTTTAATCATGACATTTATTTAGTTGAAAGGGGAGTTAAAGAGCAAGAGGGAGTATGAAGCTTGCAGAAAGTTAGCATATTTTAGTTTATGTTTGTTAAATGTTATACCCTGTATTTGCTCTGGGAAGTCCGGGGTGGGTAGGTGGGGGACGGGGGTTGGAAGGAGAAGGGGGATGAGGGATGGGGGCTGGGTGGAGGAGGGAAGGGGGGATGGGAAAAATTGTTGTAATATTTGATAAAACTTTTTAATTAAAAAAAATCATGACATTTATTTTGTTTGTATCAAAGGTATAAGCAAGAATAGGAGTTCTGGGGTCATAAAGATGCTGATGAATTGTCAAACACCCTACTCTTCATGCTGATGGGAGTTACAATTAATTAATATCTGGAGAGTTAAACTTGGTCTAGATTTTTATAAGAAATCCATGCTTTTGACAATTTGAGAGCCTTTCTCAAGTGCACCCCAGATGCATAAAATTAGAATTTCCGCTGTCAATTCTTCTATTTGTTCTTTATAATCTTATAATCTATTTATTGGTTTTTAGAAATGCTAGCAACTTTTTAAGTATTCCTACAAGAGGATGGGTTGTGTGCATTTAAATTGGTCTAGGGTTTACAATTACTATTTCTGTCCCCTCACCTCTACTGATCTGATGGTGGGGATGATGGCTCTTTTGATTATAAACCAGGAAAAAGATACTATAGTTAAATTCCATCTCAGGGCAAGTATCTTATCCAAGCAGCCATGCATCAGTATTTGTTACAGGTAGTCCTCAATTTACAAGAGTTCATTTAGTGACCGTTCATAGTTACAGCACTGAAAAAAGTAACTTAAGACCATTTTTCACACAACCATTGCAGCAACCCCATGGTCACATCAAAATTCAGATGCTTGGCAACTGATTCATATTTATGATGGTTGAAGTGTCCTGGGTTCATGTGATCTGATTTTGCCACCTTCTGACAAGCAAAGTCAATGGTGAAGTCAGATTCACTTAACAACCATGTTACTAACTTAAAAACTGCAGTGATTCACTGAACAATTGCAACAAGAAGTCGTAAAATGGGGCAAAACTCACAATGTTTCACTTAGCAACATAAATTTTGGCCTCAATTGTGGTCATAACTTGAGGACTACCTGTATTGCCAAAGATTCAGAAATATGTTAGCGCCTACAATACCTCAAAGACTGCAATGCCAAAAGGGTGAGCCAACATCTCTTCATCCACAAGGATAGTTCTTCTGTTTCCCCCATTCACATCAATACTAGAGACTGAGTGATATTTGGAGTCTACCCAATAAAGGCGATGGGTAATCAGATCTAATACAGAAGAAAGATGTTAAAATGATATGCAACAAAATTCTACACATTATTTTCTTCCAACACAAAGAAAAAAAACCCTCTATCAAGCCATAGCAGTCTAGAATAGAAAATGAGTCACATGAGGCAATATTTTTGGGAACTCAAAATTTCCAAGTCAGACTGCTGAATTGCTCATTTATTTTAAAGGTCAGTGTCTGACCTTTGTCTCCCATAAGGTTCTCCTAAACTGCTTTAAATATCAGAAACAACTTTCAGGATTCTCATTTTCATACTACTACTGAGAAATTTGCCCTCAAAGCTCATCCACAAGAAAAAACTTGACTCCCTTCATATGGTTTGGACTCCTTTAAATCTAAACTCAAGGATTACTGTAATTATGCTCCAAAATAGAAAAAGGGCACCATGTCATGTTTGCTCTTCAGGCAAATACTGGAAAACAAGTATGAACCCATTAAAAAAAGCAGATTTTCTGGGTTAGGATTCACTAGCCAGCCATGTCCTGAGCTGTATTGCTTGCCCCCAACCCAAGACTGTCCAACATAGTAATGGGGGAAGAGCTTACAAAACTGTATTATGCTTCTCTAATGAGGCAAATGACTGCCAGGGAAGGGAACAAATAGCAGGAGCAAGCGACAGAAAACTCAGAAAGAAAAGTCTCTCTCTTTAAATATAAATGAACAGAACTGTACTGTCTTCTGAAGTGGTGTTGTTCTCAGCTATGCAGGACTTACCTAATGTTATTCCATTAGGCCACTGAATGCCTTCTTTCACCAAGGGGAAACTGTCCACTCCATTCAGACCACTTTTGGCAATTTTAGCAGACATCCCCCAGTCAGTCCAGTACATGAACCTACCAAGGAGTGGAGAAAGGGAGAGGCAAAAGGACATTTAAACCAACTCATACAGTTGCAAAACTCACCATCATCTTGAATCTGTAACCCAATACCTTATTTCCCTAGTCTGCCAAGCCTTTCTGCTTCTCCCAATAGCCTTTCCTGCTCCCACAATTCTAACACTTGAAATATCACAAGAGGAAATAACAGTCAGCTTATGTTGTCCTAAATTTTCAGATCTAGGATGTAACAAACAGTCTTTATATAGGCTGCTGAATTGGTCTACCTTGGTTGCCCATGTTTCTGAGGACTTTTCCCATAATCTAGGGAAAAGGGGCCAGGGGCTTAGTTTAGGTTCTTCTTCATGCAAGTATGTCCTTTTTCCCATTAAGCCATAGGGCCTTCTCCTTAATAATTCTGAAGCTACAGTATGTGCCCACAGAGAAGGACTCGGTCTCTCTCATTTTCTCCAACAATAAATATTCCAAGAAGACTCATACCCATGGACTGGATCCACCACAATGGCACGTGGTTTGGCACCGACCTCCTTGATCAGAGTCTTCCTCTTCAAGCCTTCACTGCTGGCCACAGAGATGGTGCCTAGGCCAGAGTCAGTCCAGTAAATATTGTGATGCACCCAGTCAACAGCGAGGCCATCTGGAACCTTGATGCCACTGCTAATCACAGTGGTATGGTGGGAATGATTGCTAGCCTTATCAATTGGGGTACTATGTGGAAGACAAAAAGAGAAGCCTCACTGAAATAAAGGCAGAATGCACAATGGCAGAATTTTGTGGGTGCATGATTAGTGGGCAAATAGCATCAATTTTTCATATAATTCCAAGCAATAAATCAAAAGCAACTAATACTGTACCTTGCTAATCAGCAGAGAAACTAGTCTCATAAAGAGCACTCAATAAACTCAAAACACCTATTTCTTAACAGTAACCCTCATGTTTAGTTACTTTCACTTGATCCACAGCAAAATCCCTAGTTGCTATTTTGTCTGTCTTCCTAATCTCCTGATGCCTGAGCATCAACAGACACCAGTGGAAGCTGATGGGACTTCCAAAGATTTTGTGTTAATAACAAGAGATTTAGATTGGCAGCAGCTAGCACAGGACATGCTTTACAATATGGATTCTTCTCTGTGACATCAAAGTTAAAGGGAAGGTATTTTAGGACAAGTTAACTCCTTGCTGCGTGTACTTTTTAACACAGACTGGATCCATGAGAATGTGATTCGGGACAATAACAATGGATCCTATCATCATTGTCTCCCTTGCATTTGTTCCTCATATAAGAATATCAAGGCCCTCTGAAGTTTGGGCAAGGACCTGCACCTTGGGTGAGAGCCAGGGTTGGGCATTGCTTGTGTCCCTTCTGTCTCTAGCAAGAATAGGGTGGATGAATGGAAATGGGATTGTTGAGGTGGCTGAGGAACTCTAAAAATTTGCCAAGTCATCTGGGGTGTTTGGGATTTGGGACTAAATGGCAAAATCCTACCTGGCTTGGCTCTATCTATAGTCCCAAGGAGGAGGAGGAGCAGCAGCTATTGTCATCCATGAAACTGCTGGCATCAAGAGGCACTACTCAGCAGACAACAGATGGAAAACTTTATTTGTGCAATTTAATCTGCAGGGGCAATACGGCTTGCTGAAGGTGTATTGTTTCTTCCTGCTCTGCAGCGGCATAAGAAGTGGGAGTCATTCAACCTACCATGTTTTTCGCACTATAAGACACACTCCCCACCCCCCTGAAAGTGGGTGGAAATGTCTGTGCGTCTTATAGAACGAATATTGCGGCAGGGGGGAAGGGAGGTTGGTGCAGTAGTGGCATTTGCCGCCGCCAGAGAACACTGGAGCCTTCGCTGCTGATTGGCAGTTGGATTGGCCTACCAGAATATTGCTGATCAGCTGTTCTAAGCAGCAGGGATCGTCGGCGCCGTTACTCGTTCATTGATTGACAGTGGCAACAATGGCAATCCCCGCTGCCTAGAACAGCATCGGAGGTATCCTGGGAGGCCAATCCAATCGCCAATCAGCTGCTTGGCAGCGAAGGCTTCAGTATTCCCCAGTGGAGACAGCAGACACGGAGGAGGCAGACTGTTTGCTGCAAGGACGCTAGCCAGACGAATACCAGATGGATGGTGGGAGGCAGAGGCAGATTTTTTTTTCTTGTTTTCCTTCTGTAAAGCTAATGTGCATCTTATCGTCCGAAGAGTCTTATAGTGTGAAAAATACAGTAATTATTGAGATGACAGTAGAGCTCCCTAAACTGTTGAGAGTTCTCAACCTGCCTTCCCTGCACCCAGGGAAGTACGCTCCCATAGAGAGGGGCTCCTCCAGGTGCCGTCGGCCAAACAATGTCGACTGGCGGCCCCCAGGGGGAGAGCCTTCTCTGTGGGGGCACCTACTATCTGGAACGAGCTCCCCCCGGAGATACGGAGGATCCCGGATCTGCGTACCTTCCGCCGCGCGCTCAAGACCTTCCTATTTCATCAAGCCGGCCTGACCTAAGTCTTTCCCCTTTTTAAATGGAAATTTTAAATCTGGTTTTAAATTATTGGGGTTTTAAATTTGTTCAGCCAAATTATTTAATTCGTTTTAATCTATTTTAAGTTTTGTATTTATATGTTTTATTCTATGGCTGTTCACCGCCCTGAGTCCTTCAGGAGTAGGGCGGTATACAAATTCAATAAAACTAAACTAAACTAAACTAAACTAAAATTTTCCAAGACATCAACTCACAAATCTGCTCACAGAACCTTTTTGGATGCTGGTAATCATCTCCCTGTCCCAAGACAATTCTGCTTCTTCACTATATTGGTTCACTCAACTATCACAACTCAAAACTCCAGCAAACTCACCTGAATATTTTCTTGTGAAAGTTGTCAGACCAGTAGATTTTATTGTTGCTGATTTCCATATCTAAGGCCATTGCTTCTTTAAGATGGGGGATCAGATTTGTGTACTCGCTGTGGTCTAATGTCATTTTCCTGACCTCATGGCGATTGGTAAAAAAGAGGTAAGCAATGGTGCCTGTAAAGGAAGAAGAACTGAGACACTGGGACTCCAGAGGCCATTAATCCCCATCTTTCTCTCTCTTACATATACACACACAAAACAGTCAAAGATTTTCCAAAAACTTTCACCAGTACTCTACACAGACAGAATCCTAGACTTACCAATTGCTTTGCAAGCCTTGGTGGATGGATCAAACTGATATCCTTCTTTACATTCGCATTTATAGCTTCCTTTCAGGTTCACACAGACTTGACTACAGGCATCAGGGTTGAGACACTCATCAATATCTACAAAGTCAAGATGATGTTGCTAAGCATTCAAAGGAATAGGTCATTTTTCTATTTAATTTTTTTTTTTTTAAATTTGATTTATATGTCACCCTTCTCTGGAGACTCAGGGCGGCTTACAATGCGTTAAGCAATAGCCTTCATACTTTTTTGTTGAAAAAGACTATGTACTTTGTGAAAGCAAGGGTATTCCCCATGGCATCAAGCAAAAGAGGAAGGGCAAGGGCTCCTATCCAGGTTTGCTTCTTCAGCTTTGACTGGGGAATGGAAGGATTTCTATTCTTTGCAGACAATATAAATATATATGAATATAAATCCTTCCATTCCCCACCATCCAATCAGAGCTGAAGAAGTTCTTGGATGAGAAGTGAAATGTCTTTAAAGAAAAACAAGAAAGTCCAGTTGCCTCTTGAAAAAGCACCTTTGGGACAACTATGACCCGGATGACTGAGAATCTCCACAGACTCTTCATCAGGTAGGAATTTTCATCTCCAAATAAGTTAAATTTATCCTCATTGTTATCAATGCTTACTGGAGATGAGGATTACATTAACAACACATCCAGAAGCTAAAAAGTTGGGGAAATTAGCATTAAATCAAAAGCTTCTTATAGAAAATTAAATGTCAAGATGTTCTTACCTTCGCATTTTCTTTGATCAATCAGCTGGAAGCCTTCAGGGCACAAACATTCATATCCAATTTTGTGGTCATTGCATATATGAGAACAACCTCCCTTATTAGCCAAACATTCATTAGTTCCTGGAAAGACAGCAGAAGAGTATATTATGGAGCTGATCTCAGAGAAACAATCCTGAAGCTCTTTTAATCTTTTCAAATATCTACAAACTTTTATTGTTTTGCAAAATGATTTATCCAAGGACACATTTACAAAGAGACTTCCTAAGCAATTTCAATTTTTTAAATACTTTTTAATTAATATAGCAATAGCAATAGCACTTAGGCTTATATAGCGCTTCATAGTGCTTTTACAGCCCCCTCTAAGTGGTTTACAGAGTCAGCATATTGCCCCCAACAATCTGGGGGGCAATATAATTTTATTAACCATTTTTTTTAAAAAAAACAAAACTAATACAAATTAATATAAAGCAATAAAATGAAAAAATAGGAAAAAATGAAAAAAAAAGCTAGATGGGCAACGTGTCAGAATATTCATGATTGGGAAGATATGGTAACAAGGTCAGCCAATAAATAGGCACAGCAACTAAGTCAGCCAATTGGGAGCTGAGACAGACTGGAGCCAGGGTGTGTCTTAAGTCTGCAGCTTCTGAGTCTGTAAAGAGAAACTGAAACCAGTGTGTGTGAACTGTCTACTGATCTGAGCTGAAATGAAACTGAATCTGCTGTTGGTATTGTAAATTTACTTCATGTATTAATGTGAATATAAAGAAGTTAATGAATCCTGCTGCATCAGTTTATCTGTGTGTGCTTCTGGATTTGATTTTTGTAAGAAACTCTGACACAGCAGAAAAAAATAGGAAAAAGATATAAAGAAGTAATTCAAGACGAGACTGGACTGCCATCTGTCAAAAATAGTGTAGGGTCTCCTGCTTGGTTGAGGGGTTGGACAAGATGATCTGCGAGGTCCTTTCCAACTCTGTTATTCTGTTTCATATCTTAGCAACAAATTATACATTTCAGTTTCGGATTTTGTTTATAACACTGTTAAGTACATTTATAAGTTTGCCTCTTCTTTGTATAACATATTCTGTCTAATCTTTTAAACCATAAACTGTTAAATTCTTTTTTTTTCTTTTTCATGAAAAATATCAGTAAAGGATTTTCAGTCAGGAATAAATGTAGATAGATACTATCTTTTCTCTGATCAGCAGTCAGTTTAGCCATTTCAGCAAGTTCCATCATTTTCATTTTCACCAACTATTCTCCTCCACTGTGGGTACAAATAGTCCTCAACTTATAACCATTTGCATTCAAAAATACTGTCAGGGTTCCAACCAATGCCCTAATTAAATCATGAATCTCAAGCTGAGGTTAAAAAAAATTCAGTTATTTACTAGGAGCGTCATGTCGGCATGTACCAAATGAAGCCAACCTCACTTAATTCGTGCCTTGGCTCTGATTCTGTTTCCCCCTCCCCCCAAGGTGTATCATCAGCCACATTCCACAACAAAGCAATTTCACTGGTTGTAGAAGTCACTCCCTCCGGCCACTGTGGATCTTCGTGGAGATAGCCTTAACATTTGCTGGCTGGAATATGCTTTGTTTTGACTGAGGTGCAAACTCCTTGATACAGCTGCAAGGCTCGATTCCCCATCCCCCTGCCCTACGGCAACTTGGGAGCAGGTTAGGGAAGCTTCGCAAGTTGACAATTACAATGGTAGTGAACGAAGAGACTTACAACCTATATCTGAAGTTATGGGTACTGCAGCACACGCATGGTCACAAGAACAAAATGTGAGTGCTTAAAAATCTACCCATCCTTAGACTGATTGCAGAGACACTGCAGCCTATCTTATCACCACCACCCCCATCCCATCCTCCTGGGTCCCTTGGGCCTGTCACCTACCTGTCTTGGTCCCACATCCTTGGGCCTGCTTCCCTCCCTACTGGGTCCCATAACCTTTGGCCTTCTGTCACACCTCAGTTCAGTTACCTTTTCTGAGGATCGCCTTTCTCAAGGAGAACCAGCTGATCCACTGTATGGCCTTCTTATACAGAGATTATGTGGTGTCATCCTGGAAGCAGGCACCATTTTGGAGGTAGCTACAGTTCTTGAATTCTGAGAATTGTGGTCACTCCCAAAATGGCCCCCACTTCTGGCAAATACCATGAGGCTTCTGTATAAAAAGACCGGGCGGCGAATTTGCCAATTCTCCTTCCAAACGAAACAGTGGAATAAGCCATTCCTTATTCCACTGTGGGACCCATTGGGGCGGGAACCTGTGCAAGGAGTTCTTTGGGATAGGGGAGTGTTTGGGAAAGTCAAATATGAGCTTGGGAAGTGGTATAATGTGGGCTTGTGCCAGGCCTCCCAGGACCTGTGTCACTACTCCAAGGCACCTCATACTCTGCTCAACAATCACAATGGGGAGAACAAGGATTGTGATTGTTAAACAAGATGATCACTTAATGACCATGACTTACAACCATAATTCTGGGCTCAATTGTGTTGTGAGTCAAGGACTACTTATGCCAAATCTTAAGTTATCATGCACATGCAGTTATCATGTACAAAAACAAGTTCCATAACTTTTTCTCCCAGATATTTGTCCATTAATCCCAAAAGAAAAACCTGTGACATTTATTGTACATATATTAATCTTTTAAAATCTTCTTAGCCAGTGTATTTGAATTATTTGAGTCCACAATAGCTTTTTTATCACCAAACATAATAAAATCTCTCGTTTGAACATCAATTTGAAGTGCTGCTATACTTTCTAAACAATTTATTTAGTTACATATACAAAAAGTACATCATTTTATATTTTTTTTCTTTAAGATTATCACACAATGTAAATTTAAATCCTTTCAACCACATATTTTCCCATTGTTCCATTTGTATATTATAAACAAAAAATTTAGACCACTTTATTTTCACTTGTTATTCTGTTTGAAATTCCAATAAATTTATACGTTTTAGTAATTATATGTTATATCAAGCTTCTGCAAGGATTTCTACAGGCTCAGCTTTCACAGCTAAAGTACTAAGTTCACATATATTACAATTTCTCCACAGCTATTGTTCCTGCTCAGCTCGTGTGTCTGACACAATGTACCAAATATCACACCAGATTAATATCTCTTTCTCTCCAGTTCCCCACTGGCAAAAATGTTTGAACACAGGGATTTTGCTCTCGCCACCAGTTAGGAGAAACTGAAAGAATTCTTGCCAGGCTTGGAAAAATTCTTGTCTTAGCCTTTAGTAATTGGGGGAAGATTCAGCCAAAGTCAGTTTAGCAAACTTGTTGCAGCCACACCATATTCAGGGAATATTAAATACATACGGCACTCTTTAAGAGGTTCGTCTGACCAATCCCTGCAGTCTTTCAATCCATTGCAGACCTTGTCCATGCTGATACATTCTCCAGAACTGCACTTAAATACATTTGATCCCTTGCAAGTTGTCACTGTTGCGAAAGTAAAAAGAAGTATTGTTTAATCTCACTTTGCAGTTTCCATTTGGCTTTTCTAGGAAAGCTGTTCAGAAAGTGAGAATAAACAGAAGTGCATCAACAGAAGACAGCAGAGGCATTTAACATTTTAAATAACACTATTCTTCATTTTTTTAAAAAACACACCCCTAAACTATATTTCATCCATAAGACATCTCAAAGCAACATAAAACATTATCATACTATAAAGTTCCAGTTTCTTCAAATAACAAGCTAATCCAGGCAAACATTTAAGAATGAATAAACCAGATAGCAGTCTTCTCTTCACTGTCCAAGCCATTGTATCCCCACAAGACCACCTCTTCTCTTGTTTGCAAATGCATTGCCTGCTTTTCTGAATTATCTGCAGATGAGCTTTCTCTGAAGACCTCAGGACTGTAGACAGAACATGGCATGCTCTCTTGCACCCTGAACAATTCTCTCCCCCATCCCCACCCCTAGCTCTCCAGACTCCTACATAAAACTACCAGCAGGGCTCACCATTGACACAGCCGACCTCATCACTCAGGTCTTTGCAGTCAGGCTCTTTGTTGCACTGCAAGCTCCCATGGATGCACATCCCATCATTGCACTGAAATTCATCAGGGCGGCAGGTTGCTTTAACTGGGAAAAACAAGATGATCTTTAGAGCCAGCAACACCATTATGCCAACCCAGTGTTTAGCTCAGCATGACACATAGTACATTAGTACAGTTCATTTTACTTCATGGAACCAAGCTACTCAGAGTATAAACTTGCATCTCCAACTCTCCCACACAGTATCAGAACTGAGTAGCTTCTTGGGCAATAAATGGAAAGCTGTCACTATGCAAGTTGAGTACAAAAAGTGAAGAAATGGACCTCCAGAACAATATGAGATTGTAGTTGTAGCTCTATCAGATGCCATAGAAACTACAGGTAGTCTTTGTTTAGCAACTGGCTCACTTAGTGACTGTTTACAGTTACATTGATGAATAAAGTAATTTTGCACCCAATCTTCACATTTTTGACTTTTGCAGATCTGTAAAGCAAAAGAAAGCTTTCATTTATCAACTGCTGCACTTAATGACAGAGTTGCCGGTCCCAATTGTGATCACTAAATGAGGATCTCTAGTAGAGAAAAGCACTATGTCAAGCGTGAATTGTCAGCCAATACCTACTAGAAGCTACTGTAGGGCAATGTGTCATGAATGAAATTGGGGGCAAATTTTAAGCTGTCCAGCATCTTGCTCAACTCTCACTTGGGTCTGGATTTGAGAATACATGCAGTACCTGTTCTGCTCAGGGTATCTGGCAAGGTTTTTTTTTATTTAAAAAATAACCTCTATTTCCTAATTCTTTTTTCTGAAGTATTTTTGAAGCCTCTCAAGGCAGTTTGTTCCAGCTCTCTTTCATATTATCTTGAAACATGCTACTTAAAATAATTGATATTTTACCCTCTTATTTAGCCACAAAAGTTTTAAGTTAAACTTCTCTTTCTGTGAAGGATCTTGTACCACATGTATTGTAACCTCTCTTAGCTTTTGCAGAGATCTGAAAAGTGTTCAGTTTATGCTTACCACAGTTTGCCTCATCTGATCTGTCCTTACAGTCAAAGCTTCCATCACACTGCCAGCGCTGGTGGATGCACTCGCCACTCCCACAATGAAACTCCAACGAAGAGCATGGATTGGTTTTCTTGGCTCCCTGCTGGATCCCACAGAACTCGGGTGATTCATCAGATCCATCTTTACAGTCTGCGTCATTGTCGCAGGCCCAGAGCTTGGGAATGCACTCTGAGCTGTTGCAATGAAACATTTCAGGATTGCAGGTTGGGGCACGACAGTCTAATTCATCACTGCTATCTCCACAGTCATCATCTTCATCACAGACAAAATCAAAAGCAATACAATTCCCATTTTGGCATTGGAATTGATTATCTGCACAACGTTTAGGAGCTAAAAAGGCAGAAGACAGGGTTATCAGTCACAACCTACATCTACAATGGGATACAAAGGTTACAAATGGGTGATTCATTTTTCTTTAACAGGACACCATCCATATAAATGTTTTATGCTAAACAACTGAGAGGCCTTTTTCTGCACACAATTTCTCGCGGATTCAAAGGTATCTTGCTGTTTTTCTTTTACCTGTCCAAGATAGATTGCAGCAGATGAATGCAAAAACCCTGACGTCTCCACTTATAAATATGGCAGAGGGCAATAAGTAATCTTTTTAGCTTCTATGCTCTAAAATGCAAGACTGATAGAATTTGAAAATCAAAGTCTACAAGTTTAGTTTAGTTTATTTGATTTGTATACCGCCCTACTCCCGAAGGACTCAGGGCGGTGAACAGCCAACAATAAAATACATAAATACACAAAATTTAAAAAACCCGATAAAATCAAATTAAACTTTTTGGCCCAGACAAATTAAAATACCCCAATAATTTAAAAACAGATTAAAATTTACATATTTAAAAAGGGAAGAGATCAGGCCAAGCCCACTTGATGGAATAAAAAGGTCTTCACAGCATGGCGGAAGGAGCGCAGATCCGGGATCCTCCGTATCTCCGGGGGGAGCTCATTCCAGATGGTAGGTGCCCCCACAGAGAAGGCTCTCCCCCTAGGGGCCGCCAGTCGACACTGTTTGGCTGACGGCACCCGGAGGAGTCCCTCTCTATGAGAGCGTACTGGCCGGTGGGAGGCTATTGGTGGTAGTAGGCGGTCCCGTAGATAACCAGGTCCTAAGCCATGGAGCGCTTTAAAGGTGGTAACCAAAACCTTGAAGCGCACCCGGAAGACCACCGGGAGCCAGTGCAGCTCGCGCAGGAGAGGTGTTACATGGGAGCGCCATGTTGCTCCCATTACCACCCGCGCGGCCGCACTCTGCGCCAGTTGGAGCCTCCGGGTGCTCCTCAAGGGGAGCCCCATGTAGAGAGCATTACAATAGTCCAGGCGGGAGGTGACGAGGGCATGAGTGACCGTGCGTAACGAGTCCCGATCCAGAAAGGGACGCAACTGGCGAATCAGGCGGACCTGATAAAAAATCCTCCCGGTCACGGCTGTCAAATGCTCTTCTAAAGACAGCCGTGAATCCAGGAGGACGCCCAAGTTGCGAGCCCTCTCCGTGGGGGCCAATGATTCGCCCCCAATAGTCAGTGATGGCGTCAACTGGCTATATCGGGACGTCGGAAACCACAGCCACTCGGTCTTGGATGGGTTGAGCCTGAGCCTGTTCCTCCCCATCCAGATCCGTACGGCCTCCAGGCACCGGGACATCACTTCAAGGGCATCGTTGGGGTGATCCGGGGTGGAGATGTACAGCTGGGTGTCATCAGCGTACTGATGGTACTCCACCCCGAAACAAGACACAACAGGGTACATTCTCTTATCTTTAAAAGTAATGGGATTCCAAATCTCTATTCCTGTTGGTTTTACTGTAATTAACATAGCATCGTTTATTTAATGTGACACTATGGTACCATCTGCTTTTATGATGCCATTATGACACAATCGCCTCCATCACTAAGCCATGCAGCCCTGACTTACGGCAGTTGTCTTCATCTGAACCATTTTCACAATCCACTTCCAAGTCACACCGCCAGGACATATCAATACAACGATTGATGCGGCCGCCACAGCTGAACTGGGTTGAACTGCAAGTCACAGATTCTGAAAAGATACATACAACCCTGATTGTATAACACTGTATCCCATAGCCTTAGCAAAGAGATCCCTTAGTCTTAGGGTTGTTGTTCACTGGCCAAAGAGCCTGAGGGAGACAGCACAAGTTCTGGCATCATGAGAAAAAATATGGAAGTCACTCATATGAGCAATGTGTCCCTGCACATGCTCTCAGTTCGCAAGTACAGCACTATAGGAAGTATAGTGAGTAAGAAAGATGACCTTGATGTCATTCTGCCAATATGCAGGAACTGTTACCTAGGCAAAAGAAGCATTTTTTAGCAACAAAACAATGAGATAACATTTGGAAGTGGCTCAGACACTTGCCTAATTCATTGAACTATGAGAAGGTGGAGATACTGCAGAATCATTTTCAATATTGTTTTTATAACCAATCTCAATAAAAGTAGTTTCACCCTTACTGTGAAGTTGATTTCCTGGTCTGGTCTACCTAATGGATAGGCAGAGAAACTCACCTCTCCTGACGTGAAACAGTGTGGCTGATCCTTAGAGGCAATAATCTTCCTTTCAATATCATTGCCACTATGCCTCCCTCCAATTTTTCCCTTCAAGAACTTTAAAGCATATTACAAGGTTCCAGGTCCTTCCATCCTACCTTCTGAGAAGAGTGCTCTTGCACTTGGGAGATGTCACCTCTATTATGCTTTGCTCAAAGATTTTCTCTACTAAGACTTAATCATCTTGGTTCTCTCACCTCTGAATCTTAGAAGTCATCTATTAAATCAGATGGTTAAGAAGCTGCAACTGAAAACTCTTGGCTGCAGACTTGGGGACTGGGAATGTCAATAAATCTGAAATCTATAGAATGAATACATTTTAATGTACCTGGATGTTTTAATCAAATTATGAATACAATAAAGGACTTGGAACCTCATCTGTTTCACTATAAAGGTCAGGATTAATGATGCAGGGAAATTTAGTCTAATATGTTGCCTACATTCAAGATCAGCTACAAATTTCAAGATGGCTCCATTTCAAGTACTCTAAAGAACACTGTTGAAGGAAGGCTAATAGCTTTAAACATTGCAGTTATTTATGTAAAACAAATTTTGCCATGTCATCATGAGCTGCTAGCATTCACAGAATTTTTAAAAACGACAAAGCTATTTCAAGTCCATCCTCAGCATTCATAAAAAAACCCATTATGGTTTCTTTTCTGTTTTACAAGTCCCTCCTCTCCAGTCTTTTTGAAGCAGTGAACGCCATGAGACAAGATGAAGCTAACAGAGGTAAACCTCATCTTAGTTGTTCCATTTCTCCTGGCAGTAAACTTCTATCCCTCCTTGAAACAAACAGCTTATCTATGGGAAGAATGCATCCTCTACTTATGATCCATAGGAACTTGGACAACATTTGTAGGAGGGCAGATTATAATTGGTCAAAAACTGGCTGAATGCACACATTACAGTAAGCCAATATGTAACTTACCTATTTTTGATTTAGCATGTTGTGTGAATTCACTTTGATCATTCACTATACTGATTAGTACAGGGGTGTCAAACTCAATTTCATTGAGGGCCACATCAGCATTACATTATGGTTGCTCTCAAAGGGCCAGGTGGGCATGGCCGGGTAGGGGTGGCCAGTTTGACATCACTTACATCAAGGGGTGACCGTGGGGGACCAGGCAAGACTGGGAAGGGGGATCCGGAGGTCTCCAGCGGAGGAATACAAGACCAAGGTGAGCACCAAAGCCTCCTCATCCTCCTGATGCAAGGACAAAAGCCTCCCTCCCAGGCAGCAGACAGAACTTGGTTTGTGGGACGAAAGGCGGGCAGAAAGGAACGCGGGGTGGCATGGGGTGAGCATCAGTGGAAGCTGGCTCCAGATCACCATGTCCATTGCATGGGCAGGGCCGGAGAGGGGAACACGGCACTCACAGCAGACAGGAGCACAGGGCAGCAAGCAAAGGCTACTTGCGCACGGCTGTTTCTGATGCCTGGGGCAGGCGGCAGGGCATTGGTACTTGTGTGCGGCTGGAGAGGGTGCCGGGGGGGGGGGGGGGGGGGTGGAACGGGGGGGGGGGGGGGGGGGGAGCCAAACTGCCCATTCGGTTTTAGGCCAGAGTCCAGGTGCAGAGGCAAAGGCAAAGGCAGGGGGGAGGTCAAAATGGGAAGCCCTCGCCCACTGCTGCCTGCCCATTGCCTGTGGCAGTTTCCCATTTTCACCCCCCTCCCCATTGCAGTTCGTGCAGTTTGGCTGCCCCCGCACTGCGCCCAGCACCATTCGACCTCCCAGGCATCCTCCCCAGCTACACACAAGCACCGATGCCCTGACGCCCCCCTTCCAGGCATCAGAAACAGCGCAGGATAGGAACGCGGGATGGCACCAGATACCCGTGGACAAGGATAGCTGTGCCCTGTGGAATACCATGGCTCAAGCAGACGAGGCTGGATGCATACCTACTTGGAGGATCTGGGGGCCCAGTTAGTCCCCCGGCTGCCTGGAGCTCTGAGCACTGGAGGGCAAGCTCCTAATCCTTGAGCTCCTGGGCCCCTGCAGCCCAGCCCTGCTTTCTTGAGGGGCCGCCAGGCAGTGCTTACCTCCTCCTCAAGGCTTCTGCTGCTTCCACCACAGGAAGAAGCAAGGCGAGGCTGGGCATAGCAAGGGGAGGCCGGGCATAGTGAGGGGAGGCTGGGCAAGGAGAGGAGAGGCCGGGCATGACATGTCAAGGTTAGGAGGGCAGGGTGAGGCTGGGCAAGGCAAGGCAGGACAAACTGAATGAGCTGCAGCTTCTGCTAGGCACCGCCAGCCCCGTGTGCTCGCCACCTATGTGTGTGTCCAGGGAGAGCGCCTGGCCAGGCTGAGGCAAGGGCTTGTCCCTTGCTGTTTCCAGGGTGGCCCCGCAGGCTAGATCTAACCACCTCACGTGGCGGATCTGGTACGCGGGCCTTGTGTTTGACATGTCTGGCTTGCTATATTGAGCAATCATAGCTAGCTGTGGTTTATTCTGAACAACTTAGTTAGGAAAACCATGGCTTAGTATGTACAAATCCAACCTGTACAAAAGAGATGGTAGCAATCCAGAGCAAACTGACTGTCCTTTCATGTGTGGCTTTTGGGGAGATTGGAAAAGGAAACTTTGTTCAAAATTAGCATTAGCCAACTTACTGCATGCATCCAGGGATTCATCAGAACCATCCTTGCATTCAGGGTTCCCATCGCAGATCCATTTGTAAGGGATGCAATCTCCATTTCTGCACTGAAATTCATTTCTTCCACACTTGCCCTGCTCTGCAAAAGAGTTTCATTAACCATTAGAAAGAGAAACCACCACATTCTGACTTCAGTCCTCACTTGTATACGGAGAACTTCTTAACTGTAAATTAAAAAAATTTTATTCATAGGACATTTATCAGTACCTTCACCAGAAGAAATGAATCCAATTTTTATTTTATAAAACTATACACACCACAACTTTTAAAATTAATTCTAAGTGCACATGTATCTGTTTCAAACTCCATGAAGGTAAAAGAGGTATGCAGACAAGAGACTTGACTTACAAATTTGCATCTTTAAAAAAATATGTGTGTAACCCAGTCATAACCCTCTTCACCTGTATCTCTAAGTTTTCTTACCTTTTATTAACTACAGACTAGTGTTTCTCGGGTCAGACTCAAATGTTAGTTACCAAGTAAAAGACAGATTAAATAAGAAAATGATATAAGAAGAGAGGGATGACACTGAATGCTATCTGTCTTCCATTAATGAAATTATAGTTACATTATTAAGATGAATAATGTTACATACTGGTTGGGGAATTCTGGGAGCTGAAGTCCACACTTCTTAAAGTCGCTGAGGATAAGAAACACTAATCTATATAGAGTTAATAACTTTGATTTTACTGAAGTTGAAAACTGTTTCCTGTGCTTGCTTTAAGATGCTTTGTTAGCTTATATGACTGACATCACATAGGGATAAGTCAGAAGAGGAAAAAAGCAGATTTACGTTTATGTAACCTCAAGGAGTTTTTTTAATACAAAATTCAAATAAGACACCACCTTCCTAGAAACCTTCAATATGAAATAGTGGGATACAGGACTGGAGATATTGTAAGCTATTCTCTCAACAGAGCTTTCCAAACAATTATTAGGGCTTAATAAAACTTTAGCAGTCATGTATTAAGGCTGGGGAAAGTTGCAGATTCAAAGGACAACATTTTATCCTTCAAAACTGGATAGCTACATAGCTACATGAACCACTATTTTATAGTCTGGCCTATAGTAAACAACTCTTCAGAGCTATTGTAAATGAGCCTGGCCTGCATTATCCAGTATCAATTTATGGCTTCCATAAAACATCATCTCCCAAATTCAACTCATAGTCTCACAAAATACTCTAGCCTCTTATGTGTATTTATTTTATAAAGGGCATTCTGGAATGATGAGTTTGCAGTTGCTCATTACCAAAGGATGGCACTAACCAAGAACCTATTTCTACTGAAAGACCAAGTCTCATTTTCCTAGCCAGACTAAAATGATTAATCCAATAGGAGTTCAGATTAATTCAGTTCAGTAGTGAAGTGCACACTGGAGTTGGCAAATTTCAACTCCTACCTATTCTGGCTTCAGAGCTGTCAACAGGACAAACAAATCACATAGACATCACATTCAATTGCAACTTACTGGGGAGTGCTTGTCTTCAATTCAGTTCATTTGGGAGGCTAACAAGCTTAGCAGCAATGTATCTTAACCCAGTCAAGCATATGGTGGAAATGTAAAGCAGTTCTCACAAGTAGTAAATGGCCAAAGGATTTTGTAATTGGGGCAGCATCACACACCTATCCTCCTGGCAATGCAGTGTGCACAAGTCAGGAGTTACACTTCTTAAGGAAGACTTTTGTCAGGAGGCAGAATTTTGCCTGCACACATTTCGCATTTCCTTCATATATTCTGGGCAGGTCAGCTAGACCAACATGCTTGTCATTTTTTACACATGGCTATTTTTTCCTTTCCTCTCTTGAGTAGAATTGTGCTTATTCTACTCATAGAAATATTCCTTGGGGAAAGAAAAATATCACAATCCTTTTCTAGACCCTGTCAAGCTCTTCTACCCAAATACTACACTGCTTCAATCTTGAGTTCTAATTTTACTCTAGGACACCTTTCTAATCCATGGGTGTCAAACTCAATCATGTCATGTGACGTACCGTGACAGTTTTTGCCTTTGCGGAGCTGGGGTGGGTGTGGCCTGCATATGATGCATCCGGCCCACCGTTTGACACTCCTGCTCTAACCTAATGCTTCCACATGGGCTGGGAATTCTTGAGGTTGCAACCCCAAGACATAAAGGCTATTATTGAATAACAAATTTTGCCAACAGTTTCGTTATATTACAGCTTGCCAAAGCAAGATTCATGCTAGTTTGTTGTGGTAAAATCACTACCACCTACAGGATCATCTTAACTTTACAGTAATTTTGAGAAAGTTATTATCAAACCACAACTAAGTAATGACCAAGAGCCTCCTTTTGTAAACATGACTGAAGTTCATGTCAGATTATGGCATCAAAGATTTTTTAATGTAGATATATCAGATACATTCAAAGTGGGGGCAAATTGTCCTTTGGAACTATCCAAAAACAGATATATTAGGCAAGAACAGATTTCCTTCAATTATTAACAGATATGTGGCAGAAAGTACAGTAGTTCTTTCTTATCTTTAAATATAGCAAACTTAGTGTGCCTATTTGCAAATAAGCACAGAAACAAAATGAAATCTTTTGTCAATTTATTAATGCATTTTGGAAAGATTTGTGATAAAAATTGGGGGCAACTTTAAATAAGGAGACATTTGGGAAAAGATCCTATTCCTTATTTTCAAATCCTCCCCATCAAAACATTTTGTCATACCTAGCAGATACCCTGTTTATATGTAGAGAAGTCTAAACTGCACCAATGCAGGCAAGGAGTCTTGAAGAGAGGGAGGTAGTCATCTAACCAGGCATTTGCAATGGGATGACAGAAACCAGTGAAAAATGGATGGCTAACACCAAAGAAGCTCAGCTAGGGAATCTTCCTTCTTTGGCCTGAAATTGCCCGAAGAGAAATATGTGATGCCCCATTTTCTTCACAAGCCAATAGGTAAGAAGAGCATATGAAAATGGCAACCTCAGAGTGAGATGAAGTCAATGATTGCCTCCAAAGGGAAAAGTTAGGACTACACAGCCCATTCTTATTTCCCACCAACCTTCCACTGGTTCCTAATGGAGCCTGCCTAATAAGCATGCTCATCTCTATAGGGCTCTTTCCTTACACTCCCTTAAATAGCTGCAATTTCAAAGCAGCAATATTTAGTAAATATGCAGGAATTCTCATAGATTAAAACACTAATGACCTGCGGTTCCAAAAGTTGTATTTCGGGCATATACCCAGAAGGTACTTCTAAGGAAGCAAAAGGCCAGAAATTATACCTTTATTCTTCCCTACTGGGTCTGCCATGTTTTTTTGCAACTCAGGGAAGGAAACTGACACGCCTGTCCTGCCACCAGTCCTTTTGAAAAGGATCTCCACTTAGCAACGCGTTCTTATTCCCAGGTCTGCCCTACCCACGTTCCGGTTTCCAGTCATCTCCTGAGAAAGAAGTCCGGTCTGCCACGCCTCAATTTAAGAGCTCCACCCAAATACCTAAATCTCGAGCGCGATTCTGAAAATACTCCTAGACTTGAAGGCTCAAAGCGCCACTGATTCTAAGAGGATTTGTATGGTAACAAGCATGTGCTTGATGTTGAGTAAGTTAAAATACCTTATCACTATTTGCTTTTTAAAGGAAAAGCTAAACAATCCACCGTGGATCTTTACGTGATCCTTCAAGGTTACTCAAGACAAGCCTTATCGTTTAACTGAAGAGCAAAGGGAAGCGACTACTAATTACAATCTGCCCGTAAAGTAAGCGCCCCGCTGCCTCTCCGGTGAAAGTTGAATCGCGATGCCTCGAAGGGTCTGGGACCAAGCAGGGCTGCCACTTAATTAATGGCACGAAAGAAACTCGCGGTGGGAGGGCCTGGCGCTTGAGCTCATCTCTCCTGTTCAAGTTGAAGGGCGGAGTAACTAGCACTGAGAGGAGAGTTCTGCAGCCTTGAATGAGATACCAAAGGACATCGGCAGCTAGTTGGGAATGGGGTGGGCCAAAAAAGAGACCAAAATCCAAAGGGCAACAGGTTTACGGCCATTTTCTGTAAAAAGTGAACTATACTATGCACTGAAAGAAAAAAACAAAAAACGGCGGAGTACCCTCCAAATTGGGAATCCAATTACTTCATTTTATACCAGGTGCCTAGGAACGAATTCGAACCAAGTTATTAATGAGCCCCGGAAGGGAGTTGTAGAGTGACGCGCGTTCTAACTCACCCAAACCCAAGGGGAGGGGAGGGGAAGGGGGATAATTTCCAAAGTTTTCTTAATGAAAGGAGGACTTTAAGTCCCCTTCGGCCCGAGACTCGGGTACCAGGTTGTAATGGTGGGGTGGGAGATAGAGCTCGCCGGTTTCCCGGTGGACGTTGAAGGATTTGCATTTTCCGAGCCCCCACCCCCACCCCAATTCTCCTCTACTCCCCACGCTTTGACTTCTTAACTGCCAACGAAACGTCCGCTGGCTCCTCGTGTCTTGCTCCTTTGCTTTTCCTCTCGACATTTGAAAAGCCAGTTAAATTTTAACTCCTTGCCCGCTCCCTCTTACCATTTGTGGAGACTCGGCTGAGGATACCCAACAGCATCAAGGCAAACAATGAAATTTCCAATCCACCTGGGCTCATGGTTCGCTCCTGGCGCCCTCTTTTCTCTGCTCTGACTTCGGCAACGCCTGGGTGGCCCAAAGGACTGGTACACAAAAACGCAGAATCCGGGCAGGTGCCAGGCACTCACCATTCACAAGCACACGCGGTTCATTTGCCCGGTTTCTTCGCGCTCCTCCTCAAGGCAAGCGGGAGGCGGGGCTTCCAGTGGGGTGATTTTCAAACCTCCCCACATTATTGCGAGGAGGCGGAGTTCCAAACGCACGATGTGACGTCTTCGTCTTTAACCCCGTCCGGCCCGGTTTAGGATGCTCTTGGCTTGACATCACAAGAATCTGTGAAATGCGTGGAAGGGTGTGCGCATTGTAGGAGCAAGTTGTCCGTTGACTTAAAAAGCAAAACAAAACAGCAAAAAAGCATTCCAGATGTTCGTTCCCACTTTTCGTGAAAAAGTTCTGGTCGGCTTTTCCTGCAAAAAGGACCTGCTCCTGCGCCCTGTCCTCAAAAGGGAATGGCAAAGCGATGCACGGCCCTTCGTCCAATGCTGAGCTGCTTGCGCCAGACAGCCCTTTTGCAATCAATTTTGCAGGCTCGCTCGCTGCAGCAAATCCTTGCCGCTACCTGGACATTTTTTCCTCGTTGAAAATGGCTTTACTGAAACCCAATTACCGCACTATTTCACTCCCTTTTACCCAGAATAGTACCCATACCACCTGTCTGTGTGCACAGTTAAAGTGATTATTTTCCTCTCCCTCTTGAAAAAATGTATCATACTAGATTTGTACCAGCCGGGTACTGCCAGAGATTTTAATTTCAAAATGTCAGCCCAGGCAACGTATAATATTACAAAATATAAGAACTGCAATTTTTAATAAGGGTTGCATGTAAGTAACTAGCGCCTAAACAAATAGGTGTTCCAATGAACTTGGAATTCCATTACAAACCAGACAGAGGAATGTTTAGAGGCTTTGGGAGAGAGATTATCAAGGATGGGCTCTGCCCTATATAGGAATCAGTGTATAGCCTGCTGTGCCCATTTCACCTTCACAAGTCAGGTTTGCAGTATAGAGTTCTCAATGTAGGGGAAATAAAGTCAATTCTACATATATTATTAATCCTTTTTTGAGTTTCATAAGCCAAAATCAAAGGTTTATCTTGGGCCCAGAAATACATTAGCTGTCATAAGATCTGATCTATATTCATTTTCATAAAAGGTGGTAAAAAATAAAGGAATAATCAAAAACAAATTTCAGATGTTCATTTAACTATCATCTGATAATTGCAAAACTGTGTATCTTAACATTACTTCATTATATTAACATTAGATTGCATCATATGTTATTCAACAAGAATCTGGAAGGCCTCAAAAAATGGGAGGAGGGAATGCTATCTATGCCATCTTGAGCTCCTGATCAAAATGTGCTATATAGATACCTTCCCAGAATTGCTACCATTTTAATATCTTTTCCAAGTTTGGAACTGTTGTGTTTGTTTTAGTAGGGGAACATAGAATATCAAGAGTAATGTTTCTCAATCTTAGCAACTTTAAGGCTGCTGGGGAATTCTGGGAATTGAAATCCACACATTTCAAAATTGCCAAGGCTGAGAAACTTTGATTTAGACGAGGCTCAGGCATGAATATTCAGCCCAACATTCATAAACAAAAATAAAATAGCATATATTATTTAACTTAGATTTGTATTGCTCTGTACTAAATAAGGTAAACAACCTTGTTTTCAAATTAAACCAGCTCTTTACTCTTCAGAAATATCTTTACCAACTGAAGTTGTTTTTCTGTTGGCAGCATTATTCTTTAGCTGAAAGATTATACATGAACCAGATACCCAGTCTGCTGGAAGGTATCACTAGATGAGGACCCAGAACCTCTCTCCAACACCAACACCACCCTATCAAGCCGCCCCTTCCTTCTTCTCAGTTGACAGCCTGAAGACAGCCTCAACTGTCTTAACCCTAACCCTCTAATCCTGCTTAGAGGATTAAATGCTTTGAAGGACAAGTTCCATTTCTTCATCTATTATGATATCTTACCAACCAACTGAGTGTAATCAAGTTAAGCATGAAGTATTGATATGAGTGCCAATCTGTTCAAAAAGATGCTATCATGGAGCAGCAACTCAACCTGCAATACTAAAGATTTACTTTGTCTTAGTGCCAGGACAGATAATAAATGAAGACATGGTGACTTCATTTATGATTTGCCCTCAGTGCTATACTGTAATTAAAATATGATTGACATGTACATTAACAACTAAGTAAATATTTCATTGGGGTCACATTATGAACAACTAAAACAGAAATCTAGAAGGAATTTACAGCAAATTGTATTACAAACTCAGATAAACTCCAAGCAAGTCCTAGCAAATGTTGCCATTAAAGTGGTAGGTTGCTCCCGGTTCGCACCGGTTCTATAGAACTGGTAGTAAAACCGGTGGGAGGCTCCGCCCACCAACCCCGATGTCATCAGAATGCTTCTGCGCATGCGCAGAAGAGCATGTGGCCCCGTTGCGAACTGGTGGTAAAGGTAAGTAGAACCCACCCCTGTGCCATTGCTATCTTCCATATACCAAAATATGTGTCAGACCTGCCTCAGCTTGGACTCCTAAATAGAAATGATCTTTCACTACATTTGTTGCAATAGGAATATTTTTATTAGAAGTCAAATGAATTGCAGTAAATCAAACCAGAACTAAAGGGTTGCTCACAAAGGTTCCCTAGTTAACTTTCCCTTTCCCATTCTTCCCCTCTGTTATTTCTCTATTGTCCAGTTACATTCAAATAAATTGTTTTGGTAACATTCCTTGCATCAGCAGGCTAGATGTGAGCAGTCTATGGGTCTTTTGTGACAACCATTTTGTGAAAGTGATTACAACATGCTCTTAGAATGCCAGGGCTGCTGATAGGCCAAAATATGGAAACGTCTTGCTTAGTGGAAGATTTGGCAGAGATATAAACATGAAAAAGGGTAAAAAGAAAAATAGGACTGCCCTTAAAAGTCAGTGTCACATTTACAAAATATTAAGGCAAAAGTTTGCTGTCACCCTCTCTGATACTATTTTTTAAATTACTTGAGAAAGAGACACTGTTATATTTTTGAAGATAATTATGATTGGACCAACATTCAAATACTTGATTTGAGAGGCTCCTCCTTTTCTGCATTGGGTTCTCGCTTGATGAAAAAGTAATGCAACAATAAATGTCACAATCAGTCATTTGTTTCCGCTAAAGTAAACCTACCATACATATTTACTTCTCAGAAATGTTTAACATGTTACTTAATACATTATGACCAAAAAATGAAATACAATTTTAAAGCCGTCAAGTTCTGATGAAATTTCACAATAAGTAATATTTATCCTCAGTGCTTTGTATCAGAGAGGTCTATCTAATACCAGTAAAGATTGTTCTTTTTCCACTTTACAGCACAAGATCACTGTCCCTAGGAATATTTTTCATTGCACACCAATGAAGAATTGTGGGGGTTTTCTAAGAGGCCCAAAGAACTCTTCCAGCAAAAATGAAAATATAAGACATATTAACCTGAAACTGCAGCAGGCAATATGACTTTGACCACATATTTAATACTCTTCTCCTTTGGTCACATTAAAACTTATTGTTCAATAACAATTTATAAGCCCAGTTGGAGTTGGGCACATTCAAATTGAATTAAATAAATAAGATCTGCAAAGACAGAACACAAGCCAGTTCTCTTTCTTTGGTGTCACATAAAATATTCCCTGGTAGCATGATGCTATATAAAAAGGTGCCCTGATCCTAAAAGGGGAAACTGCAACAAAACAGGAAACTTGCCAAACATTTCCCTCCAGAGCACAGATGGGAACTTCAAGATATTGCTGATACTTCTCCTCCTAGAAATGTAGCAGAAAGCCTGTCTGGGGTTTCCAGGCATCACAACCAACAGAACCTCCTCTTCCTCTTAGGTAGGAAGAAATATCTGTTGCAAAACATTAAACCACAAATCACAGTTGAAGAACCACAATGGTCAGATTCACACAACCGATCATAAAGCCAATATCCAAACAGACTCAAGTGCTAAAAGAATCTGTTTAATTATTAGAGCAGGTTGATAGTGGAACCAATTGCCTAAAGAGGTAGTGGACTCCCCTTTATCTGTTTAAAGTGAGGATGCTTTTATTTCAACTTCTCTGCTGAATAGGACATTGAACTCACTGGCCCCTTCCAACTGAGCAATTCAATGAAACCAACATATGGCTTCATGGGTTGTGTGAAGCAAATTCTAGTGAAAAGGTTCACTCATGAGAGGAGGCTATTTATTGGGTCAAATATTTAGGTCACAGACATACTAAACCACGGGAGTCAAACTCAATGTGACGTATCACAATGGGTTTTTTGCCTTTGCAGAGCCGGGGTGGGCATGGCCTGCACATGATGTATCCGGCCCACAGGCCGCCAGTTTGACAAGCCTGCTCCAAAAACAGCAAAGCATATTGTAGCTTACCAAAATGAACAAATGTGCAAGAGTAAATTAATCAAACAGACCAGGGGTGAAATGCTCCCGGATCAGACCGGATTGCCCAGTCTGGTAGTGATCTTGGCCGGTGGTTCAGCGATCCAGTAGCGATAGCAGAGCAAAGCTCCGCCCACCCACCCGGGTGTCATTACTTCCTGGTTTTAACCAGGAAGTAATGTGTTTTTACCTTCTGCGCATGTGCAGAAGGTTTTGCGCATGCACAGGTGTGGGTGCACAGATGACACACGCCTGCGCGTGCGAGCAAAGCACGCGCAGGCGAGGCACGTGCGCTTCCGAACCAGTAAGGAAGGTAAGTAGATTTCACCCCTGAAACAGACCCTTATCAACATATCTCTCCATATTAGCATTTTATATGAACAAAAAGTTTCATAACATAGTGACCAGATGTACGCAGGTGAAATATAGATGAATCTTGGAATCAGCAACAATGCCTTTATATTCAGTATTACTAAAATAAATGGAGTTTTCTATCTTTTTTTCCCTTTAGGAAATTGTAGCAGCAATTTTACTACAAGATAAGCCAAGAGCAAGAGAAAATTATTGCCTGTTGCTTATGTTCTTCCATCACAAGGTTGACATTTGCAAAACAAAACAGAGAATATGAAGGCTAATCAAGGTTTCTGACTGATCTCAGCATCAC